CCCAAGCACAAAAATTTGTAAGTCTACAACTGTACCTCATGGTGTTTCATTAATAAAAATTTTAAAAAGGATAAAAATAATGAACAGCTTTGTAAGGGTCTATCCCACAGTAATTCAATTAAAAAATTTAGTAAAATAAAAAGGTAGGGGCAGAGATGCAGCCCAAAGCCTCCTGGGGTGGTAGCAGCCCAAAGATGCCTCGGGCTAAGGCAGACTATGGTGGTATTGGAAAGCAGAGCTCACAGGAGAACCACAGCATGGCACATGGGTAGGGTTTGAATCCAGCACCCCACTATCCAGAAGTCTTCCTCATGAAGTGGGTATTCCCAAAAGAGTGGGTATTAGTAAGAGCCTTTCACCCTTCTTTGTCCTTCTGGATAGTTCATGCAGTACCACCAAGTCAACTGCCCTTGGATTATGCACCCAAGTCCCAGATGGCAGTCCCCACCCACCCCCAGCCTTAGAAGACTTCTGGCCCCCTGGCCTCCTCACACGGCCACAGGCAGGAGGTGAGAAGCTTCAAATTTAAATGTCTGTGCATCCACCTCAGCCAAATCACAGGTGACAGGTGGGAGCAAACTCCTCTGTATAAACCCTGTTGTTTTGGCTCAGCTGTGTCAGAACCCCAAACTAAGTAAAGCAGCCAGTGAGAAAACATCAAAATGATGAGCCTCAGGGCTGGAGCGATAGCACAGCGGGGAGGGCACTTGCCTTGCATGAAGCCGACCTGGGTTCTATTCCCAGCATCCCATATGGAACGCCTGAGCACTGCCAGAAGTAATTTGCCAGGAGTAATTCCTGAGTGCAGAGCCAGGAGGAACCCCTGTACATTGCTGGGTATGACCCAAAAAGCAAAAAAAAAAAAAAAAAAAAAAGAAGATGAGCCTCAGTCCTGTCTGATACTGACGTACTGACGGGATGGTTGGGTACAAGTAGGCCGCAGAGATGGTGTAGGAGTTCATGTGTTTGCCTTGTGTGTGGCGGACCCAATTTGATCCCCAGCACTGCTTATGGTCCCCCAGGCACCTCCAGGAGTGAGCACAGAACAAAGAACAGACTAACCCTTGAGCTCTGCCAGGGGTGACCCTAAAACCCAACTGTCAAGGGCCTCCTGGCTTTCCCAGGAAATTAAAGTTGTTTCCCTTTGGGGATGCTGGGATATTCCCTTAGAGCCTGCAATGAAAATGTCCCTCTCTGGCTGTAAGGGGGCGCCTCAAGGGACCAGAGCGACATTTCCTAAAGAGAAGGGGTTACCCCCTCCAGGAGACACAAAGGCTTCTCAGTCATAAGTTCCCCAAGGCATCTGCTGTGAAGCGAGTCCTGCTCAACAACACTTCACAAGAGAACCTTCTAGTTAACTATGACCTCCACGGCTAGCACAGCGGGTAGGGCATTTGCCTTGCACAAGGTCGACCCGGGTTCGATTCCTCTGTCCCTCTCGGAGAGCCCGGCAAGCTACCGAGAGTATCCCACCCGTATGGCAGAGCCTGGCAAGCTCCCCGTGACGTATTCGATATGCCAAAAATAGTAACAACACGTCTCACAATGGAGACGTTACTGGTGCCCGCTTGGGCAAAACAATGAACAACGGGAGGATAATGCTACAGTGTCTTTAGTGCTACTACTATTATGTCCTGGGGAGGTGTGGAGGGGGGCGCACTGCAGGGGCGCATACAGACACAAGCACACACACACACACACACACACACACACACATTCACACACTCATGCATATGCACACACAATCAAATGCCTTCATGCACACGAGCACATATTCACACACCCACTTGCACACACACACACTCACACGGGCACACAAACACACCTTCATATGCCCGCGTTGTTCACACACTCACAGGCACTAATACGCACAGGGCCAGGCTTCCAGAGACAGGCAGCTCGGGGTGGAGGGCAGCAGAGTGGGGTGTGAGCCCTGTCCATCTGCGGTCCCACAGTGCAGCCTGCTGGGCGGGAGGGATGGTGCAGGGGGACCAGGCGGCGCCCGGGCACAGGAAAGAGCCCGCTGGCCTCGCCCCTGCCTCTTGCTGCCCCTAAATCTTAACTTTAGGCTTGAGGTAGCCTGTAGGAGGGAAAGAAAGAATAGCTGGTCCTGCTGCTTTCCAAATGCAAACAGACCTCCCACCCTGCTGAGCTCTGACTGCAGAAGGTTCCAGACAATTGGGAAGAGAGAGTACTCTGCCTCCAGAGGAGAAACAGAAGCTCAGAGCTAAAGCAGAAGAACTGAGTGCCAGAGAGACGAGTGGGAGAGAGCTTTGCTGAGCCTTTGCATGAATGATCACAGTGAGCTTGCAGGGGACTCCCTGCTTGGGACTCTCTTTCCACAGAACCCAGAGGAGTGCGCTTTCTCCCGGGGCCCCAAGAAGGGCCCATTCACACCAGTCAGTCATCACAGAATCTCAGTCATACCACTGCCCCCCTGAAGACCATGCCCAGGGCTCCCTCGAGAATGGGAGCAGCAGAGATAGAAAAGAAATGGCAGAAGAGAGAAAGGTCATTGAGGGTGCTCCCTCCCTTAGCCAGGAGGCAGGTGACTCAACAGGACCACAGAATGAGCTTCGCCACTTTGGAAGACAGCAGTGTGACCTAGGTTTAGCTGGGAGCCTTAGGGTGTATGGGGGGGGGCGGGTGCAGGGAGGCTGTTCCCCTCCCCTGCCCTCAGTTTGCTCTTCAGGAGCTCTCCTGATGTCCTGTGTGCCCTGGTCTCCGGATACCCACCCCTGCCCACAGGACCACTGGCCATTCTCCAACCCCTTCTCACTCCCATTACTTCCCAGCAGCCTGGGATCAGCATCTTCTTTGTTCCCTGATGGAGGAGACAACAGCCCCATCAATCACACATGACCCATGGGCCAACCCTGGGTCTGGGTACCAGCCACCATCCATCCATGTCTGTGGCTACAGCCTTCTCCTCCTCCAGTCCACTCAACGGCCTCTCCTGGGGCTGGGTACAGAGCTGAGTGGGGGTGCCCGCATCTACACAGCTTTGAGCTCCCCAGAGCAGGACTCCGACCCAAAGGCAATTCGCCACTTGCAGGTGAGGCTGCCTTGGTGGCCAAGAGGAACACATCTTGGAGTCATTTCCCATTTCGCTGGCAGACAGTCACCTGAAGTCTCTGGGGAGGCGGAAAGACAGAGCTCTCGGCAGGGAGAACTTTCATGTGCTTTTTTGTTTGGTTTGGTTTGGTTTTTTGTTTTTTTTCTTCCTATTTCGAAGACACGAATGAGTAGCTGGAGAAAAAACAGGCGACAGAGTGGGTGGCCACAGGAGACACAGAGAGGATGATCAAAGGCCTCACACGGAGGAAACTGCCTTGGTGTGGCCCCAAGAAAACTCTAGGTGGCCTGTGTGGCTTAAAAGGCCGCCCAGCCTCACATGCTGGGGGAAAAGGCAGCTCAGATGGAGAAGGGACCACCAAGTAAAGGATGCTTGGAGGGCATCGGGATGGGAGATGCGTGCCGAAAGTAGACTATAGACTGAGCACGATGGCCACTTAATACCTATATGGCAAACCACAACATCCAAAAGGAGAGAAAGAGTAAAAGGGAATGTACCTGCCACAGAGGCGGGTGGAGGGAATGGGGTGGGGGTGGCGGGAGGGATACTGGGAACATTGGTGATGGAGAAGGGGCACTGGTGAAGGGATGGGTACTCGATCATTGTATGACTAAAACGTAATCACGAGAGTTTGTGAGTCTGTAACTGTACGTCATAGTGATTCACTAAAAAAATTAAAACAGCCCGTGAGAAGGAACCCCGATCACAAGCACCCCACAGGCCTCCTCCCGACCCCAGTGGTTGGACGGCGAGGCTTAAATTGGAACCCACACCTGACAGGGAGAGTTATCCAGGCTGGCCACCAGTTCCAGGTGGGCATATGTGTATCTCTGTGTGGGAGGCCGATCTGCACAAACTGCAACCCTCACCCCCACCCCCAGGTGACCTTCAGCTTCCAGAGGAGGCTGGAATGCTTCCCTCTGGACTCAGTCTTTCTAGCCACTGCACCTCCTCTATCCCAGTCCAGAGCCCATCCCCAGGAGCCCATTTTGTCTTTGCTGGGGAACTAAGTGAGTTCATCATAAGAGCCCCTCAAGGATTGAGGAGCAGGGAATCCTTTTGTCCATGCTAAGGCCTCAAGCCCCACTTTGAGCAGGTGCTACCCAATACTCAAGTATCTCTCAGATTAGCCTCCCAATTTAGGACTCCTTCAGAGCCTGAAGACCCAAGTGTGGGTGTGACTTGCCCCCCATGAACAACAGCCTTTGGTGGCCAAGCCTGAATGAGGAGAAAGACAGAGAGACAGACAGACAGTCCAGTGCTCTCTGGCTGGAAAGATGCTAAGAGCCTGTTGGATTCATAGAACTCTCAATCCCGTTTAGGTTAGTCAGAACTACTGCCTTCTGGAAAGTTCCTTCAAGGACTTTTGACCAAAAGACTGGGGATATTCCTAAGATACAGGTACTGGCACTCAAATTGAGGGATTCCAGAACCCTGTTTCTTTTCCCAGATAATGTGGAGAAGTCATAAAAATCCCACATTCTCTCTTGGATAAGCCAGCTCATTCCAAAGAGATTTGCCAGCTTTGCTTCCCTTGGTCAACACTGGCCATCTGGGCAAAAGCCAAGAATCTACTTCCCCCACATCCTTCTGTAGAATAAATTCAAAGAGAAATCATAAAAGAGAGAAAACCATTCAATCCTTTGCAGAGAGCAAACAGGGTAAGAGAGACCAGAATGCAGAAGACCTCAGGCAGAAACTGATCATGGTCCCCTAGGTAGCTAGCTATAAGTCAACAATCCTCCTTGTCCCCTTGAGCCCAGGGCTTCCTCTTGTCCTTCAGACATGGAACGAGGAAATCACACAACCTACAGAAGCAAAACTTTCTTTCTCAACAGAACAGACTTCCAGGATCCTAGTTGACAAGATGTCTTTTAGGAATTGCAACTAAAGGGTCCTCCCACAAAACTCTCCCACATCTTACCTGATGAGGTCGATAGGTTGAAACTTATAAAACACTCCATAGCGCGCCCATTCTTGATACAGCAGCTAAACAAGAAAAGTGGGGGAAATGAATTAAAGGGAGAACAGACAGCTATTTATCCTTTTGTGTCCTTCCTGGAGCCAGCCAAAATCGTATTACCAAAGTACAGATCCTACAAGTATTCTCATGGGATATCCACAAGAAATATAATCGAGGTTGGAGCAATTGTACAGAGGTTAGGGCAATTTGTCTTGCACGCAGCCAACCAGGGTTCAATCCCCAGCATTTCATATGGTCCTCTGAGCACTTCCAGGAGTAATTCTTGAGTTCAGAGCCAGTAATAACCCCTGAACATCACCTAGAGTGACCAAAACAATAGAAGGAAAGAAAGAAAGAAAGAAAGAAAGAAAGAAAGAAAGAAAGAAAGAAAGAAAGAAAGATAAAGGGAAGGGAAGAAAGAAAGAAAGAAAGAAAGAAAGAAAGAAAGAAAGAAAGAAAGGAGAAAAGAAAAGAAAAGAAAAGAAAAGGAAATATATCCAAAGGCCATGGAAGCACTTTTCCTCTCCAAAATGATAAAAGGGACCTTTGTTACCCTTCAGGCCAGAAGAGACCTATACCCAGCAGCATTCAAACCCCTTCTCTTTTGTTCCATTGTCTTATCTTGTCCAACACAATGAGTCCTGGTATTCATTTACTCATTGATAAATGAATGGCAGTACCTCTGTATTGTTTAGGAACCTATTGAACATCTATGATGGGCCAAACAGTGGAGGCAACAGCACACTAAAGTCTGCTGTTGTCCTGAGGTTTCCACCCTGGCCTACGGCAATCAATATGCTTACATCAATATTTGTCATGAATAAATGCTATGTCCTAAAACAAGTCAAGGTAAGAGAGTAGACTATGGGGGCTGGAGCAATAGTCCAATGGGTAGGGTGTTTGCCTTGCATGCGGCTGACCCAGGTTCAATCCCCGGCTTCACATATGGTCCCCTGAGCACCGCTGGGAGCAATTCCTGAGTGCAGAGCCAGGAGTAACCCCTGACCATCACTGGGTGTGACCCCAAAAGCAAATAATAATAATAATAATTATGGATCACGGTCCTCCCGTTGTTCATCAATTTGCTCGAGCAGGCCCAGTAACGTCTCTATCATGAGACTTGTTACTGTGTTTGGCATATTGAATACGTCACAGGTAGCTTGCCAGGCTCTGCCGTGAGGGTGAGATACTCTCGGTAGCTTGCCGGGCTCTCCAAGAGAGGCAGAGGAATCAAACTCGCGTCAGCCATGTTGGCTGCGTGCAAGGCACACACCCTACCCGCTGTGCTATCGCTCCAGCTGGCTGGAGCGATAGCACAGCGGGTAGGGTGTGTGCCTTGCACGCAGCCAACATGGTCGACACAGGTTCGATTCCCAGCATCCCCTATGGTCCCCCGAGCACTGCCAGGAGCAATTCCTGAATGCATTAGCCAGGAGTAACCACTGAGCATCGCCGGGTGTGACCCAAAAAGTAAAATAATAATAATAATAAGGCAAAAGGGAGACCCCTCCAGACTCAGAGGCTCAAGAGCTCAGACCAGCTGCCATCTAGAGAAGAGAACAGGAGTAACTCAGGAGAGGATCACAGCCGTGGCCCAGGTCCTTCATGATGGTGGCCAGAACCAGGGGATGAGTAGTGAGAGATGAAAAGGAAAGTGGTTCAGCACTCAAAATGAGAGAGAGAACAAAAGGGAATGCCCTGCAACAGAGGCATTGTGGGATTGGGGGGAATACTGGGATCCGTGGTGGTGGAAAATGGGCACTGGTGGAGGGATGGGTACTTGATCATTGTATAACTGAAACCCAAGTGCAAAAATTTGTAAGTCTACAACTATACCTCATGGTGTTTCACTAATAAAATTTTTTTTAAAAAGAAAGAAAAGGAAAGTGGTTGGCTCAGCCTCTATTTAAGAAGTAGAGCTGAGATATTTAGCGCTGGATTAGATGGTGGCTGAGAAAATGGGTTAGATCTGAGCAACCAGGAAAACGGGGATTCCCTTTGCTGCAAAGGGAAGACCATGAGAAGAGGTCAGGAAGAGTGGAGACAAGAATTTGAGTTTGACGTCCCCCAGAGCCATGTAATCTCATCCAAGAGCCAAGATCCAGAGACTATAAAACAAAACTCCCAGGAGAGAGCAATGCAGTATTTCCTGGAGCACGCAGTCACATTCGTGGCCACAAAACCTCTTTTACTCTAGCCCACTGATGTAACTAAAGTAGCACACATTTGTTTGGTTTTAACATGCTTGCTTGTATTCTCTTATGCCTTTCAGCTTAAATGGCTCCAGAATGAAATACCACAATCTTCACACACTTCCCTCTTATTGTGGTGGGAAGATGCTCACTGGTGGGTGGGTGTTTGAATATTAACCATAATGAACTACTGTGAACGACTTTATTAAAATAAAATGTACAAAAATCGCAAAAAAAAAGAATTTGAGTTTGAGCAACATGAAACGAAGAGGCCCTTTAGGCCTCAGCACGGACTAGTCTGCAAGTCACTGGTTAGAGAAATCTGGGGTTCAAAGGGAATATAGACAGGAAGCGCAAAGTAATTTAATAATGTTGCAGACTTCCTCTTATCAAAGAAGATCATTGTATAATTGATCGTTGTATAATTGAAACCCTCTTCTTATCAAAGAAGAGGAGGTCTGCAAAATTACTAAACTGTGGTTATAATTCCCTTGGGAGAGTGAGTAGAAATGGAAGAGGCCTGAGGCGAGGTCCTGGGTCCATACTCATCTAGAGATCAGAGGGATAATATAGAAGGGCAGCGAAGGAAGAGGAGCCAATGACGGACAAGAAAACCTGCCAGCTCATGCTTTTTGAGGAGGAAAAAATGACCAGTTATGTCCAATAGTATTGATTGGCCAGGTGAGCGAAGTAACCTCTTGAAGTCAGTGACAGGAAGTTAACAATGACCTTGCCAAAGTGGTCTCAAGGTTGGGGGAGAAGGAGAAATCTGAGGGGACATATTCTAGAGGTTAATGGTGAGAAAAAGACATCAAATATTCACCCTGCCTTGCTGTCTGTGATGGTTATTGGATTTTGAGGGGCTGGAGGGTGCGGGGGTGGGGGGCAGTGCTTGGACCACAAACTCATGCTCAGGACTTACTTCAGGCAGAGCTCAGGGGACCATATGTCATGATTGGGAGCAAAGCCAAGTAGAATGCACATAAGTCCTGTACTCTTTCTTGAACACCGTTTTCACAGCGACTTCAGCAGAGCTAGATAAAAACTGGGTTTCCATCTTAGGGATATACTCCAGTTGAGTTTCAAACCCCTCTCCAATGAGATTTCCAGAAAATCCATGAATAAATGGCATAATTAGGTACCAGCTCATCATTGGATATTGTCTCCATAGCCACACTGAATCGATATGATTAGACCAATCGGTCTAGAATTGACAGACATATGATACATTTGCTATTTTGTTATGATCAATAGAATCCTATCACATACAATACCTGAAGAATTCTATTCAAGAAAACCTATCTTCGTTGGGAATTGTGAATATCCAGTTAAACACCTAAGTATAAGGGATTTTAAATTTTAAATTTTATTTATTTATTTATTTATTTTTGCTTTTTTGGGTCACATCTGGCCATGCACAGGAGTTACTCCTGGTTCATGCACCCAGGAAGCACTCCTGACGGTGCTTGGGGGACCATATGGGATGCCGGGAATCGAATCTGAGTCAGCTGCGTGCAAGGCAAATGCCCTACCCGCTGTGCTATTGCTCCAGCCCCAAACATGTTAGGGGAAGGGGGAGCTCAGAAAGAGAAGGGAACACCAAATAAAGGGTGTTGGGAGGATCCGCCCATGATGGGAGAGCATGCTGAGGGTAGACTGTCGACCAAGCATGATTGCCACTCAATGCCTCTTTTGCTGACCATGGCACTCAAAAGGAGAGAGAGGGAAATGCCCTGCCACAGAGGCAGGGTGGGATAGGGGCTGGGTGGGGGGAGGGGATGCTGGGATCCGAGGTGGTGGGAAATGAGCACTGGTGGAGGGATGGGTGTTTGATCATTGTATAATCGAAACCCAAGCACAAAAATGTGTAAGTCTACAACTGTACCTCATGGTGCCTCACTATTAAAAAATAAATAAATAAATAAATTTAAAAAAATTAAAAATAAGACAATTTAAAACTAACATAAGGGGTGGGAGGGAAACAGGGATATTGATGGAGGGTAGTGAGAACTTGGAAACAATTGGCGTTGGAATAATAATTCTTGAACCTCAATCATAAATATCTGTAACTTTGAAATTTATAGTGATTCAATTTAAAAAAAAAGATGAAAAATTTTTTTAAAAAACCTGACAAAAGAACTGGTCTTCTCACTAAACAGCTGCCAACTTTTTCAAGACGATTTTATTATTGTATGTTTTTATTATCATCATATACCCCCAGCAACCACAACACACAGACTATATAAACCTTGACAAAGCAAACTGTACCCACAGTTTGAAAATGGTGGCAACTATGGGATTAGTTTGCTCTGTTACGAAAGCTAGTAGCGGTTTAATGAGAAGGCCCTGGTTTCTACCCCCGAACCCAAAGCAAAGAAAGACTTATCATGAATTCCTGTGGGGTTCTGTGGTTCCAGGGATGGAACCCAAACCTCCAACACTCCAGACAGGGGTCCCACCTCACAGTCATCTCCTGGTCCCTACTACCACCTCAGTTTTAAAGCTGCTAGTGGGAGACAAGAGGCCCCCAACTTTAGGGACCATTGCAACTCTATTTCTCTTCCCCACAACTCAGAGTGCCTGGAGTTTTGGTCCCTCTCCCCAGTGGGTGAGTACCTGGCCTCACCCAAACCTGGTTGTCACAGTGACTTCATCTTGGGCCCCAGGGGAGGCCCGCTTGCGTCAGGAGGTACGGGCAAGTCTTCTCCCCCAAGGACCACGAGACGTCACTCCCCGCCCCACAGGCTCTGACCTCCAGAACCCTGGCTTCTTGGAGTCACGTGTCCAGCTTCAACTCGAGTCTGAGAACACCTCTATGCTTGGAGGGAAAGACTGAAATGTGCCAAGAAAACCGGCTTGGTGTTCATCAGGGGAGTCGACCCACGAGCCTGACCCCGGGCTGGATCCCAGATGGATTATAAGTAATCTCTGGAAGGTCCCGTGATGAGTGTGGCTACAGCTAAGCAGAAATCAACCTCCCTAGTGTGTGCATGTAAATGAGGGTGAGCCAAGAGAGACAGCCTGGCTCCAGAGACGGGGCAGCCCCTACGTAAGAGAATAGAGGTCATGGCCCCCAGTTCGGGGTGTGATACAGTTAAGTCTCCCTCCTATGACTTGCAAGGGAGGCAGAGAGAGGATGGGGTGGGCTTCAGACATTCCCATCTCTTCCAACATCTCCTCTCACACAGTGACCCAGACAATAGTCCAGGTCCAAGGGTCCAGGACAGACCAGCAATCAGCAGGACAGAAAGCCTGTTCTGGTAGCAAACGGGGTCCCTTCCAGACAAGCATGCCATGAGTCCATGGCAGAGAAGCCACCTCAACAACTTGGAAGAGTCTCTTTCCACAGCAGAACCTAAGACTTTCCTAAGGTAGCTCATAGCAAATCCATCCTCTTCGTTTAGAGCTATACAGAGCTACACCATGTCCTCTTCCCTGACAGGCCAAGCCTGCAGAGAGAAGGGGAGGACAGGCAGCTCTGCCCACAAGCACAAATACCTTATGTGAGGGCCGCCTTCAGAATTCTAGGCCTGTATGTTCACTCTCCACTTTGATGGGGGAAAATAGTGCAGAGAACTAGTTGGTGCAATGAACACCACCAGAAGACCCATCCCAGCCTTCAAAAGAAGCTTATTACCCAACCCAGCCTCCTGGTCAGAGAGTTAACATAGGGGGGTTAAGGCACTTGCTTTGCATGTGGCCAATCCCAATTTGATCTCCTGAACTGCATGGTCTCCAGAGCACAGAAAAGGGACTGTCCCCCCAAGCCACCACTGGGGGTATCATTAGGTGTTGGCTCCAACCCCTCCCCCCAAAATTTTGTTTGTCTTGTCCAAAAAGGAAATGGAGTTGTGGAGTTTTGACCTTTGTGGAGGCTCCAGGATTGCCCTGAGCAGAAAGCTACCAGCTATTGCCAACTCAGCAGCATTCCTGGAACTATGCCAGTCTCCTCGATCCCCCATAAGGCTGTGGAAAGGGAGCGTGCCCCCTCAAGAAGCAACCAGGGATAAGGGGGCCCTTTGTACCAAAAGTTGGCATTGAAAATGCTGAAACTGCACGTGAGAGTCAGCTCAACTGGCAGCATGCACACTTGAGATGCAGGCGGACCAGGTGTTATCCTCCACATCACCTGTTCCCCAGAACTTCACCTTGACAGACTGGGATCTCTGCACCTATCCCCAGGTGCTTCACTGTGAACAGCTGGGATCTATCCCCTCCCCCACAGCACCTGTTTTCCAGTAGCTTGAGTGACCCCCCAAGCACGGTCAAAAGTAGTCCCTGAGTACATCCGGGCATGGCCCAAAACCAAAAACAAGAGGGAAAGCTAAGACAGCCAGATTCCACACCATTCTTGGGGAGGTGGGTAGGAGGGTAGGGTCATCCTCTAGTTGATTTGCCAGAGCTAAAATATCCGGGATGAGTGGGGCAGGGACTTTACAGCAGCAAAGGAAATTGCATCCCTGTGTGGCATCCCAGTTCTCTCCTTCTGCCAGTAAGTGGGCAGGGAAGCCTCTGCGGGGATTGAGGGAAAGGAGACCACCCCAGTCTTGCTGCTCCTTCCCCAGGATGCCTGAGAGCACAGGTGGGTTTGTGAATGTAGAACGAGGTGGCCCTGGACAGCCAGGAACGAAGGGCACCATCCCAGTCTTGGCACTGGTGCTCCCTGTGCCCCACATCTTCTAGAAGCCAGGAAAGACCCATTTTCCAGGGGGAGGAAGCTTCTTCTTAATTACCCTGCAGGAGAGGAGAGTGATTTCCTGCTCCTAGCTCTGCTGAGTCAGCATCTCCTCTACTTCCCCTGCAATCTACTAGGACTCAAGCCTTGGGGAGATGATGGGAATACCCACAAATTCCACAAAGGAGGGGAAAGAGCATCTGGGTGCTAAAGAATGGGAATTAGGGCGCCTTCCAACCCTCCCCCAAAGGTTTCCAGTTCAGTGATCCCACCTTCACTGCACTTTCCTGGAACCAACCCAAATCCTTTCCGACCAGGATTCAGTTCATTTCTTTGCTAGAAGGCTTTCGAACCCCACCACCCCTCCCCAGCTCATGTCCAGCAGCCAAAGTTCAGCCTGCAGGGAGCATGTCCTATGCTGGACACAGTGAACTGAGCTCTACCACACAGACCTGGCTGGCACTTGGACCCCAGGGTTCAAACATGAGTGGTCAACCCATTATGGATGTATGTCAGAATTGATCTTCACGCCTGAATGACTGTTGCTTTCCCATCCCCAGATGGAACTCGGTTTCTCTGATCCCCACCCTATCAATCAGCTCTATGTCCCTAAGCAGAGACCCTGGTCCATGAAGTAGCCAGCTAAGCTAAGGACCTCTCATCTCTCAATGCAAACACTGATCCAGCATCCCAGATACCAACGTGGGGGACTATCCAGCCCCATGCAGCTCCAGCCTGACTTGTCTCTGCTAGCTGGGGTGCTGGGCATGGGGCAGAGTCCCACACTAGCACAAGCACACCATTTTCCATGAGGAAAATATTCCATTAAAAGACTTTGCTGGAGCTGGAACACTAGCACAGCGGGGAGGGCGTTTGCCTTGCACGTGGCCAACCCGGGTTCGATTCCCAGCATCCCATATGGTCCCCTGAGCACCGCCAGGAGTAAGTCCTGAGTGCAGAGCCAGGAATAGTCCCTATGCATAGCCAGGTGTGACCCAAAAGTAAAAAAAAAAGAAGGCTTGTTGATAATATAGCATTGTTAAACGCATGCATATCTATTTGGGAGAGCCTACACTTCACTTCTCTACCTCTGTCTCTACCTCTGTGCAGACTCCAGAGGGCTGGCTTGTTTCTCCCATGAGGTACTATGTGCTCCTGTCTCTGGAATATTTCTCTCCCCCCACCCCCAGTGCTTCACCTTGACAGGCTGGGCTCACCACCCACCCAGCAGGAGAGTTCTTAGGTGGCAGCAAAGAGTGATCAAGTCTTTAAAGGGGAGGAATAGAAGAGCAGCGAGTGGGCGGTCAAAAAATGGTTAGGGTGCAAGGGGTGAGATTTGGGGAGAAACACTTCCTCCTTTGCCTTTAAATCGGATCCCGGACTTTTCAGGAAATTAAACACCGAGACTATTAGCATCAGATAGAAAACAGATGAGGTTAAGACATCGCAATGCTACAGCAGACTCCCTGGGCAGGCAGAGAGGGGACATGTGTAAGCAATCAGAGCAGTATTTCTGGAAAAGACCTTTTATGTTTTTAATACTTAACACTTCATAACAGGGACTAATAGGCAGGATAAAAAGAACGTTGCTCAAAAAGCAACTTGGGGGATGAATGGTTTTCCAGACAACAGCGTTGGGAGTGGAGGGGGAGGGAAACTTCTCGGGCTTTAGTTTCTCATCTCCCCACCCTTGCCCACCCTCCTTTGCTCACCAGAGTTGCTAAAGGCTGGGGGTTGGGGATGAGCAGGGCGGGGAGGCTGGGACAAGGTCTTTGACAGCCAGATGGGGCAGCCCCCACTACAGAGGCTGGATGATCCCTACAGCGCCACACCCTGGCAGGAGAAGGTGCCACAGCCAAGACTATTCAGAAATGGGACCTAGGTGGTGGGCTGGCAAAAGGCACTCCTGAGTAGCCAGGAGCTCTTGGTAGCCTGGTGGAGATCCATCCAAAGGGATCCTGCCCATCTCTTGAGTGGAACCTCCAATTCCTGACTTCCCAGAATATACAACAGGAAAAAGCCACTCTCTCCATCTCTCACTATCATCTTTGAAATGGAAATGATTCTTTTTTTTTTTTTTGGAGATGCCAGGGTTACTTCTTATTTATTCATATGGCTTAGAGTTCCTTTTAGATGATCCTCTTTTTCAGATTTATCTCTTTTATAGTAGTGTTAATAATGTCTCATCCCCTTCATCTCCTATGCCCTGTCCCACACTTGGTAACCTCTGTTCTGTTGGAAGAATCCAAGGGTTTGTGTTCATATGTCGCTTGCTGTATTTCTCCCTATATTGTGAATGAATGAGGTCATCTGGCATTTGTTGTTCTCCCTGTTTATTTTGCTTAACACAATTCCCTCCAGTTCTATCTGAGTTGCTGCAAATAGCAAAATTTCATCTTTTCTTATAGCTGAACAGAGTTCCATTGTGTGTATACATGTATCACAGTTTCTTGATCCACTCACTTATTATTGGTCATTTGGGTTGTTTCCAGATCTTGATCATGGTAAATAGCACTGCAGTTAATATAGGCGTGTATGTAACTTTTCAAATTAATAGTTTTGTATTCTTGGGATAGATTTCAGGAATGTCATGTTTTATTTTAATTTTTTTTGAGAAGCTGTTAATCACATTTATATGCCCAGAGAGGAGGAAGATGAGCTCAAAGATCACTGTCTCCATCCCTCCTGGCAGGAGCCATCATTCGTGCCAGCAAGGACAGCTGATCTGAGAGTCACAGGTGTACCAAACCCAGCTACGTTTAATATGACTCTGTGCTCATAAATATGCCTAGACCTGGGTTTCTCAAGCCCCAAATGAAGGCCTTTCGATTCTCAATGTCACAAGGATGCTTTGGGGAAGGGATGGCTGGGGTAGAGTCCAGAGGCAAGAAGGACCACAGCACCCCACATATTCATGTTCCTCCCTGCAAATGACCCTCACACTTCTTCCTTCTGTGGGGCACTGAAAACTAGGGAAGCCAGTCAAGAAGTCACTTCTCCCACATTTCCTGCCCACCCATAGTCACCTGTCCCCACTAGGACCATGTAAGATCAGCTTACCTTTCTGTCATTCATGTCGTCCCCTGGGCTATCATATTCTCCCTGTAGGAGAGAAGGAGATGTTGGGTAAAACCAAACACAGGACAGGCTGTCTTTTTCCTTTCTAATGCCATCCCATTCCTTCATTCCTTCCCTCCCATTTAGGAAAGGCCAAGCATGGCATGGGAAGGAGCAAGTTTCCCTCTTCTCCATCACTGGCACACATAAGGGATGCTGGGTATTGCTTATCCCTCACAGACCAACCTCATCTAGGTTCATAGCCAGGATGTGAGCAAGAAAATCATCTAAGAAATTCCTTTGGCCACTCCAGTCTCCTCACCTCAGAAGTCCCCAGGAAGCCTAAGCATATGACAAATGCTGATGAAAAGGCCAACCATATGTGTCCTAGGCTAGTTGAGTTCTTCATGAACTATCTTGGAGAATATCACAGCAGGGTCTTGGGGGATGTTAAACACATTGCCACAGCCAAGGAAAGCTTTAATGGCTGGCTGTTTTCTTGAGTTCACTCTACAAATAGAGATTTCTTTCAAGTACTTAGAATAAGGGCTGGAGTAATAGCACAGTGGGTAGGGCATTTGCCTTGTACACGGCCACCCGGGTTCAATTCCTCCGTCCCTCTCAAGAGTATCCCACCAGCACAGCAGAGCTGGCAAGCTCCCCGTGGCATATTCAATATGCCAAAAACAGTAGCAACAAGTCTCATAATGGAGATGTTACTGGCGCCCGCTTGAGCAAATCAATGAACAACGGGAGGACAGTGTGACAATGCTACAGAGCTGCTTAGAATAAAACACTCTAACAACCAGAACTTTGAAGGATGAGACATTTCACATGCATGTAAAATGATCACATACAAAATGGACTCCTGGTCATGGAAGGGTATGAAAGCCCAGACTGTCCAGACACCCGGCCTCTGACTTGGCCCCCACCATCGCCCACCCACCTGCACCCATGCCTCATCTCTGAAGCTGCTTGACTTCCTACCCCAAACTAAGGCGAGTGGTGGAGGGGAAGTTCAAAGACCTTCTCTATTTTCCCCTGGAGAAAGAACTGGATAGTCCAAGGCAGCAGGTAAGATCACACTGTATGACTATCCACCATCCGCCATTCACCATCAGCTGGGACATTTTGTCGTTATGATTCTCTCCTGCCTCATCTCCCTTCTACATCTGCTGTGTCACCACAATTGCCAACTTTCTAGGGATTATGAGGACAGTGCCAGGGGCATGGTACTTACATCATGAAGAGGGTAGGCTGCCTCATAGATATTGTTTGCTATCAGTGAGTTAATACCTACAGAAGAAAGGAAGAGAAAAAGAGTCACCAGGGGTCAGGGATTTCTCCATTCTTCCTTCATCTTTAGTGAATAGGAAATTCACCTTGGGGCTGATAGTCACAGGATTTTCCTCTGTAACTTTCCAGATGGGAAGGATTTTGTGAGCTTTAGCTTTCATTTTCAGACAGTATCTTTTATTTGCTCTCAAGAGTAACTATGCTTGCTCACACTCCAAGTTCCTCCTTCCCGCCATCCAAATAACTCCATTCCAACAACTTTCTTCCCCACCATCTAACCACCAATACCATCACCACCAGCATCATCGCCAATCTGAACACCATCACCACAACCACCAACACCACCACAACCCATCATCATCAATCACTACAATAACCATCCCTGTCAACACCACCATCACCACTACCACCATTTTCACCTTTCCTGCCATATCCACCTACTCTATAACCTCCAGTTCCACAATGTCTGCTTCTATTTCCAGCACAACTCTATCACCATAACTATGGCCATACCCGCACTCAGCATATGGGATCAGCAGGAGCATAGGAATGCCTAGATGGATTCCTGTGCTCATAAAAGCAGATTTCAGGGCACCTTGCTTGTTTCTACTGTGCATCCTATGATCACAAATCTGCCCAGAGCATGAGCTCCTGAGGAAAGGATAGTAGTGAAACATTTCTCAGTGATCGTTGGGCCCCTCACCATGAGTTCATCAATCAAAGGTATTCTTTCAAATTAGCATTTAGACAGTATTTGTTTCATCCTTGTGATTTCCTGAGTGCACAAGGCCCTAGACAGCTAATGGAATATATGCTGTTAATTCTTGTGCCTTATGCTTTTCTCTAATTTATCTTCTAAGACAAGTAATATGGATTTCTAGAACTAAGCAAAAGTCCTCAGGGTGCTTTCAATAATTTTTAAAGTGTAGGGACTGAAGAGATAGGGTTAAAACACGTGGTTCAACAAAATCTCCAGTGCCACATATGATCCCCTAAGGATGGCAAGGGGTCAGTCCTGAGCACAGAGCTAGGAATAGTCTCTGAGCATAAAAAGAGTCCCTGATCACAGAAATTCAAATAAATCAGTGACTAAGAAAGCGTGTAAGAGGATGCCCAGACCACAAAATTTGCAAACCTCACACCAAGAGATTAGCTCTATAATCCTGACAGCATTTCACACCCCGTGTACACAGCACAGCCCACAGTGGATGAGACAGAAGGACACACCCATCAGCCCCAGCCACATTCTCCTCCCCAAGAGAACCTTCTGATCCATGGTATTGGCTTGCTTCGTTCATGATTTTACTCAAATCCCACGTGATCTGTCTGTTCTGAATCCCCTTCTGTCCTGAGTTGCTGGCTCCCAGATGGGAAGGATTCTATCTCCCCAACGCATGAGACCGAGGAGCGTGCTGAGTAGGGAGCCTCATGGCATGCAGAAGCAGGGGAGTGGCAAGTCTGTGGTGAGACTTCCCTGGTCTCCATTACACTTTCTGCCCTGAACCCTTCTTTCCAGAGAGAATGGAGATAGCAGTGAGATGGGAACAGCATTGGTTGGGAAGGGAAGCAGGCACAATGTCCAAATACTAATTAATCTGCACAAACGAGGAGGATACCTGATGAGGCGAATAACAAACCTAGACAAAATGTACTTGAAAATGCATGAATTTCCATCTCCTCTTCACTCAGAGACCCTCTCTTCCATCAGCCTCACTGCCCTGGTTTAGGAGAGAGGAGAGACAAGTCGGAGGCTCCCTGTGCAAGCAGAGGTCCCTAGCAGGCTGCAGGGGGTGCTGGGGGACACACCCAAAGAATTACCAGTTGACTGGGCCCCGCAGCATCACCAAAGGACACTTTTTGATGTTAAGTTTCTTCCTTGGCATGGACATAAAACATCCAAAATAGCTAAGGAGGGGGAAGCGAGGGCTGGGGGAGGGAGTACATGGAAGGAGTGTAGACCGGGAGGAGGGTACCCAGAAAGCTGAATAAGCTGCAGATTTAACTCACTCACAAGACTGTAGTTTCACTGTGAGCATCATTAATGAGTTCAAGAGCCATAACCACAGCAATGTGAAGCCACCCTGCACCAATCAAGGGGAGGAGTCGCACACCAGGAGGGAGAGCGGAGGGCGGGAGTTCAAAGCTGCAGATGGGGCTGTCGACATGGATGGAGGCTGAAGGACCCCAGGTGGCTCTGGATCAGAAAAGACCACACCCTATGCACACACCATCCAATCCCTGCACTCACACCCAGGGCTGCCACAGCAGCAGTTCACACTGGGAGGACTGTCTCCAGACTGCACAGAAAAGGTTCTGTAGGTGTCAACTCTCCCACTACTTGTCAGCCATGTGGGTGTTGAGTGTCTGGCTGACAAGGGGAACTCCCGGGACTGTCTGCACCTTCTCCAGAAGATCGCCAATCACAGGACATTGCATATGACACTAAAGTCCCCTCTGCAGCAACATGGCTAGACATAAGGAGTTCGCTTCATTTCTGGAAACTTCTTGGCACCTTAGTTGGTGTGCTAACTCACCCCAAGACCTACAAGGTACATGCCTCTCTCATTACAGCTCTCCTGGCACCTAGCTGGGAACATGGGTATTGAGAGCTCACACAACCAGCATGACAGCTAAAGACATCTCTGTATCTCTTCTCATTCATCACGGGTGCCCACTTCCCACACTCCTCTGCGTTTCTTCCACAACCCATGCTAAAGAAGGAGCTTAAAACTTTAGTTAAGTAACCTGCTTTCTGGGCTGGAGAGATAGCGTGTGGGTCTTCGCATCTGCTTTGCAGATTGCTCACACCAATTCTAGTCCCGACACCCATGGTTTCCTGAGCACCACTAGGAGTGATCTTTAAGGACAGAGCAGGGAGTTATGGCCAATCACCATCAGGATGGCTCCCAAGCAAAGAGAAGAACGAGAGGTAATCGAAAGCGAGTCTCAACACAACTCTTTGCTATGAAACTAACATGATTTAAGTCATCAAACCTGGTGATTCTGACCCAGATAACCAGAGCAGGGAAATGTTGTGTTCCTCATGGTTGCCAACTTCCATTCTTTCAGGTAGTATCATATGGCCAGTTCCAATCAAAGGCAGCTCGCTGGAGCGAGGATTTAGAGAACATAAAAGAAAACAGAATTTCAGGGATGGGGGTGAGTTGAAAAGCAGCGATTCAGCCACAACTTCACCCAAGAATGGAAATGGCTTTGGCCTCTTGGGTCACCCACAGACTTCTGAAACCCGGATTCTACCCCCCAAACAAGCATGGAAATCAGTCTGAAAGAAGAAAATAATCAAACGTTTCTGGAAAAGGAGTCTCTGCTTTGAAAATTGAAATTCTGAAATTTTTCCTCTCTTTGCAACAAAAGAGAGGGCTAATTGGTTCCATCATGCACCATCCATCTGGCCATAATGGCAAAGCTTTCTTCTTTAGGATTCGTCTCGAATCCCTCCTCTCTGATGCAGACCCAGGGAGAGACAGACCCAACCTTTCTTCCTCTCCTTCCCAAAGGAGGGCCCAGATAGAAGGAGAGAGTCCTTTTCACTCTTAGCCTAGAGCAACAACTCTTTGGTTAAAACAACATCGAATTGGCTAAGGACACCCTTCTTGCCCAACCACCCCTCAGTTGACTTCAAATCACCAGGCACTTTGGATCTGTGGCTTAGAAATAGAATCTCTGATCTATGTTTATGTGTTTAGAGAAACAAAACAAGAGAATAAACAGGATTGGATGTCAAACCCTCAGCCTTGGATTATGGGCCTTTGGGAAGCAGGTGTCAAGGGGGTGTGGGAGAAAGGAAGAAAAGAGACAAACTAAAAGTGACATAAGGGAAGGGATGGAGGGCCCTGGGCATTTTGGTGGTGATGAAGTTGCAGTAACTTTGTCCATCCCAATGTGAACCCCATTGTAACCATTGTAGCACTGTCCTCCCTTCGTTTGTCGATTTGCTCGAATGAGCACAGTAACGTCTCCATTATGAGACTTGTTGTTACTGTTTTTGGCATATTGAATATGACACAGGGAGCTTGCCAGGCTCTGCCGTATGGGTAGGATACTCTCTAGCAGCTTGCCGGGCTCTCCGAGATGGATGGAGGAATCAAACCCAGATCGGCCGCATGCAAGGCAAATGCCCTACCTGTTGTTCTATCGCTCCAGCCCATTACAATAACATTTTAAAAGAAATAAAATCCCCAAAGGACAAGGCTTCAGCAACCTGTATGCCCAGCACAGACCTGGCACCACACTCCTGCCATTCAGAGGGAATGGTCCAAGGACCGGAGTGAGGATAGGCTCAAGTCATCAGAATTATGCTCATCAGATAAACTCCGAGGTCTGGCCTTTTGTTTCTAAGGCTTCTCTGGTCTCCATAACACAGAAAGGCTCCACACAGTTCCTGGGGTGCCTCCCAAGGAGAGAGATTCGTTCACTCCACCAGGGGCTAATCAATGATAGGGACCTCAGCTTGATTCCCTCAGGGCTCACCTCCAAGGAAATGTTCATCCATGGGGACAGGTACCTCGAGAAATGGTGCTGAACTCCCCAACACCCATTTGGTTTTGATTCCCCACCCCCACCCCCCATCCCCAGAACGGGGCCCAGTGCGCCTGACATTCTGCTTTCATCCCCGTCCTCCAGCCGGACGTAAATCGAAACCAGAGGCCCCAGACAGTGCATTTAACAGAGACTATATTTACCCATCACCAAATTGTCTTGACGTGTGCTTAATGACTTAAATGCCTTTAATCCCAAGCCTTTTCTTCTAACAAAATACAAACCAGTTTCAGTGGGATGAATGATAAACCAGATGTTTACAACACACAACCTGGTCTGGCTTCGGTCAAAGTAATGAAGACATCATCTTGAGAGGGAAAGGCAGAGGCCCAAGGCACACATTTGTTTGGATGCCCTGACACCTTCATGTCTGTGACACTGTAACTCCATCAACCTAGAATCTTGGGTCCAGGAGAAGGCCACAATAATTTACAGAGGAA